ATCATGGACCATCCCCGCTTTTGACCTTGCCTTTAAGGAAGGGTCATTTGAAGTAAGCTGAAGACTGTAGGGCCTAGGACACTGAAGTCCTAGAGTAATGTCCTAGATAATTGACTTCCAGCAGCCACAAGGATCTTCCTTTCATACAGAAAACATTTGCTATTAAACTTTCATGTAACTGAGATTTTGGCATGGCGACATAATTTATTTCTATTTCTGGCTTTTCATCTGCTTGACAGACACACCAGATACAACACCTGAGAATATCATTTCTTGACCTTTTTTTTAGTTACATTTCTGTCTAATGACACCATCCTCTATGATTACATGGAATCTTTGATCAAAACTGAACAATCATCTGGGAAGTAATTACCACATAGTCATAAATGATTCTGTAATTATCCTTCACAGTATCAGCTATTTAAGAGAATTAAGTTAGATTGAAACAGAAGCTCCAATAGCAGCCTTTTTAAAAGGTTTTCACAACAGAGGTCATTGCCGAGAAAGTGCTATGTTATTTGGGATACTGTGACTTGGATTTGATGATGAACAAATATGTTACCTGAGCTCAGTTAAGGATATGTGGTAACATTTGGAATTCCACCAACTCTGACCTACTTTGCAACCTTGCGCAACAGGAAGTTGATTTTCAAATTCCCATCCTTCTTATTAAATTGCTCCATAGCCTTCCCCCTCCCAATCTCTAACTTTTTAAGCCTAAAAGAACCCACATGAACTCCAGCAACTTTTGACTTGCTGCGCATTCTGTGATTTTTGTTTGTTCCACTATTGGCAGCTGTGCTTTTAGTTGCTAAAGCCCTAACCTCTGGCACTCCCTGCCCCTCCTGCAAGTAAACACATTTACCTCTCTGCCCCTCTTTTTTATTTTTTTTTCTCTCATTTTTATCTCTGTTCCTCAAGCCTTTACTCAGTGTCACAGAATTGTGACAGCGCAGAAGAAGACCATTTGAACTACCATGTCTACACATGGTCTCCAAATGAGCAATTCACTTTGTACCGTTCCTCTGCCTTTTCCCTGTAACTCTGCTCATTCTTCCTTGTTCATAGAACAATGTGTATGGATGTCTCTTCTACACTCTCAGGCAGTTTATTCTAGACCCTAACCACTTAATTTTGAAAAATATTTTCCTTGTGTCACTTTTTTATTACTGCTTTTACCAATCGCTTTAATGCTGTGCCCCTTTTTTTGTTTCTCCCTCCCCATTCTGTCCAGACCCTTTGTGATTTTGAACGTCCATGTCAAATTTTCACTCAGCTGCCTTTTCTCAAAGAAAAACTGTCCTAGTTTCTTCAATGTATCTTCATAACACATCTGTGGACCTATCGAGCTGAGTCTCATCTGTGCCCTCTCCCGTGCCTTCACTTATTCCTAAATTGTGGCATTTAGATTGTGTATAATACTGTAGCACAGTTCAAGCTGTTTCAACATAATCTCCTTACTCTTGTACTCTTATTATTGATAAAGGGTACCGTACGCTTTATTAACCCCTCTTGCAACCTGTCCTGCTACCTTCAATGGCTTATTGGTGATCCTGCTCTTTTGACCTACATTTGCTTTAATAATAATAGAACATAGAACCCTACAGCACAGGAATGCGCCCTTGCATATTCATGTGCTAATCTAATAGTCCCTTAAATGTTGCTATCTAATCTGCCGCTACCACCACCTTTGGCAGCGCGTTCCAGTCTCATACAACAATGTCGATGATACGAATGCTGGGTAAACCTCACAGCAACCTGACATGCACACGCAACTTAACATGGAAATTCAGAAACTGGTGTAAGAACCAGACTATTTCTCTGCAGTTTGTTCTATTACAGCCCCTACTCATGGGAATGGAGCTGAAAGTATTATTATGACTGATCTAGCTTTACCTTCCCACTATATTTGCAATTTTATGCTGACTGGAAGAGTTAAGTTTGATGCATTTAGGAGTAAGTGACTGTTCAATTGTAAAGACTCATTCCTTCAAGTTTGTTTTTTTGTTAAGTCTGTGCATGCACAAACTTGCAGTCAATAGCATTTGTATTTCATGATCTTTGCTTTGTTTTATGTTTGTAATTGAAAAATTACTTGTCCTGCTTCGTATGTTAGTTTGGACTCTGTGTCTCTCGGTGAAGATACTTTGACAACACTTACCAATTAATTTTCCCTGTTCTCAATGCAATAGCAATATGCTATAGAGGGTGCCACCCTGGAATTGCTGACAGATGAGAGGAAATCATTGTTAATGAGCATGTGTCAAGTTCATAGGGAGTTGTATGCAAGGTGAACAGCAAATGGTGGCCCTATGTCTCAGATCAAAATATTTTGGCTATAGTCTTCATATGGGCTAAACATTGGATTTTCTTTTGTGACATTTCTGTGCAATTCCTTGGGTTGTTTTACTAGGTTAAAGTTGCTATATAAATGCAATATTTTTGTTCTGACCAGTATTTCTTCTTTAACGGTGTCAGTAAAAATGGATTATTCTCATATTTATTTTACTGGGGTAGGTTGCTTGTGCAAAATGACTTGTGTTTGCCTGATGTATAACAGTCATCAGTCTAGAGGTGCTACCGGGTTGCTCTGGTTCTTCAGCAGAATTCCCCTAAGATCAATGTAACTGGTACCACAGACCATGGAATTTTAAATACTCATTGCATTTGGTGTTGACTCCACTAGTTGTAATCTATTTAGGCTAGTTCTTTTATAATTTTTTGCACTAGAGCCAGCCATGACCCTGGAATGAATGAATCACCGTTGCTAGTTTACGCTTATTTGCAGCTCTCGGAAGGTTGTTCCCAAAATTAGGCTGGATTGGCCTGACACACAGACACTAATTCCTTCCTTCATTAACCAAGGTCTCAATCCAGTGTCTGCTGATGTTTCATTCTGTCCCATTTCTCTTGGTAGTTTTTGTCAGTGCAGGTCTGCCTTTCTCTCCAGGGCAAAAGCAAGGAAAGAGGTCCCACGTCAGCTGTGTTTTTTTAGGCATTTAATACCTGAAATGGTGAACCAACACGACAAGATAAGCTCTGTCTATCACTATGTAAAGGATTGCTTCTGGAAGGAACTAACCAGTGTTATTTAAATGCTGTGTTTGTGCTGCAGTACGAGTTTCAAATACTAAGATCAATGTAACTATCACCACTCTATACTTGCCCTTAAGTTGAACCTGATGGAGATTGTCATGTATCTCGGATAGCACTTTGACTATGTTTACGTGATGTATAATAATCCTTTTCTGTTTACCAAGATTAAGCCTCATTTCCGCTGAAGAATATACAGCGTTGTTCTCTATATTAGACTAATAGTGAGAATCATAGAATCCCTACAGCATGGAAGCAGGCCATCTGGCTTATCAAGTCCACACCAATCCTCTGAAGAGCATCCCATCCCCTTACCCCATCCCTGTAATCCTGCATTTCCCATGACTGGTCCACCTACCCTACACATCCCTGGACTTTATGGGGCAATTTAGCATGGCCAATCCACCTAACTTGCACATCTTTGAACTGTGGGAGGAAACGGGAGCACCCAGAGGAAACCCACGCAGACATGGAGAGAATGTGTGCCTATACAGGCAGTTGTCCAAAGTTGGAATCAAACCCAGGTCCCAGGTGCTGTGAGGCAGCAGTGCTAACCACTGTGCTATCCCAAGGAGGATTAGCACAAGTGAGAAGAATTGGTAGCAGTGAATCTACAAAGGACGTGTCATGTGGTTCGGGTGAACACGGCCGCAATATTATACCATGTTGACGGGTGGATTTTACAATACATACCAAAGTCTACCTTAAGTGAAACTGGAATTGAACCCATACTGGTGTTATTCTGAGTTGCCATTTAGCTAGCCGTGCTAGCCATCCCCCTTCTCCTGAATTTTTAAGGATTTGATTGATTCCTCTTAAATATCAGTAACGAATTCACCAATTGTATCCCAAAAAAGCTGAAAAATAGTTTGTTGTATTGTTAAGGCATTTCAGTGATGTTACTCGCAGATTACGGTTGATGCTAATTTTAAAAATGTTTTATTTCATGATTTAAAATGATTTTCAGTTGCATTAGTCAAATTTTCCTGAGGCGATATTATTAAATACATTGAGAAATATTTTCTAAAAGTTTTTTTCAAAAAAAACTGGACAATTGCAAAGTTTTATGGGAGAGCTCACAGTCTGCAATGCACAAATAAGTGGGGATAAACTGGGGATAAACACTTTTTTTTTTCCAAAAAAAAAGTGAAATTTTGGGAATGATTTGCACCAAAATCACTAATTTGTTCCAAAAGCAGAAACTCTACCCTCTTAGTTCTTTTGGTTCTGATGAAAGGTCATTGACCGGAAATGTTAAATCTGCCTCACATGCTTGCTCTCTGTCACTCATATATACCTGACCTATAGAACTATAGAATCCCTACAGTGTGGAAATGGGCCCTTCGGCCCAACAAGTCCACACTGACCCTCCAAAGTATCCCACCCAGACCCATCCCCCTAAACTACACATCCCTGAACACCATGGGCACTTTAGGATGGCCATTCCACATAGCCTGCACATCTTTGGACTGTGGAAGGAAACCAGAGCACCCGGAGGAAACCCACACAGACACTGGGAGAATGTGTAAACTCCACACAGACAGTCGCCTGAGGGTGGAATTGAACCCGGGTCCCTGGACCTGTCAGGCAGTAGTGCTAACCACTGAGCCACCTGTTGAGTGTTTCCAGCATTTTCTGCTTTTGTTTTAGATAATTAAAGGGCAGAGTTTCTCATAAAGCAGGAAATCTAATATTTTACTGTAAAGATCTCACGTGTTTTGACCAGTTTCCATAAATACTAAGTTTTTCGTTCCTGATTTAAGTTTTAGGGCAATATTGAAGTACCAAATTGCATGACCATGGCTATATAGTTCTTGATTCATGTTTAGTTATTAAAAGAAATTCTGATTTGTGTGAATTCATTGTTCAGTTCAGAGCATAACTGTTGTGTACTATTTGTCTTTTAGGTGCGTTGAGGGTACTAAGAGGGTCGCAGAACCAGGATTGGTTTTCGGTCTGTCTGATCAAGGTGCCAGCACGTGTCCTATCAATGGCAATTTCCTTGATCCTGTGAAACCTGTCAAGCTGGACGCCACAGCTGTCAGTGAAACGACCTCGGCTGACACTCTGTCTGCCTCAGAGACACTTAATTGCCCATTTCTAGCCTGCAGCACAGGCTCCAATGAGGTGCACTACGTGAGTGAGGCAGTTTGCCCAGAAGATGCTTCCACCAGTGATGCACATAGAGATGCCTGCACCATTACTGGTAAGTAACGTACATTGTGAATAAGTAACCAATTAAGTATTGCGAAGCTGCTGTTTCTGCTGCAACTGTCAGAGACAAAAGTAATTTGCAACCCTGTGTCATATTTAGCCCCTTCGCTGAACTACTGATCACATAATCATGCCATTGCTAAGACAGCCTTTTTGCACCCGTGTAACTTCACCCCCTCTCAGTTCCAGTGATGGAAACTCTCTTTTGTGCCTTTGTTACCTTGAGGCTTAATCATTCCAAAGTATTCTGGATGCTCTTTCATATTCAGTCCCATTCGGTAAACTTGAGGTCACCCAAAATTCTGCAAACCCCGTCTTGACTCGCACTCCAAGACCTGTTGACCTGTCGGCCCTATGCTTGCAAAAGCAAGAAAACAGAGTGGGGGGTGGGGGGGGCGGAATAAGAGAACATTCACAACAACAGCTTGTATTTATCTAGCTGTTTTAATGGAATAATGTGCTTCACAGGACTATTCTGAAACAAAGCTTGACATTGAGTCACACAAGGAAACACTGGGGCAAGTGACAAAAACTTGGACAAAGTTGTAGGGAACACCTTAAGGGAGGAAATTGTGTAAATTTGTCTCTGACGTGTTTACCTGATGTGACAATGTTCACCGTATCTTCCGTAACGTACTAGGCATAGTGTGGTTGAAGAATCCAACAGGCATTTATTACAGAGATAGTAGGAACTGCAGATGCTGGAGAATCTGAGACAACAAGGTGCAAAGCTGGATGAAGACAGCAGGCCGAGCAGAAAGGCCCGAAACGTCAGCCTAGACCCTTCATCAGAAATGGGGAAGGGGAAGGGGAAGGGGAAGGGGAAGGGGAAGGGGGTTCTGAAATAAACAGGGAGAGAAGGGGAGGTGGATAGCAGATGGATAGAGGAGAAGATAGGTGGAGAGGAAACAGACAGGTCAAAGAGGCAGGGATGGAGACAGTAAAGGTGAGTGTAGGTGGGGAGTTAGGGAGGGGATAGGTCAGTCCAGGGAGGATGGACAGGTCAAGGGGGCGGGATGAGGTTAGTAGGTAGGAGATGGGGGTGCGGCTTGAGATGGGAGGAAGAACAGGTTAGGGAGGC